GGTCCGCAGCACTCGAGAACACGCACACACGCGCACACACGAGCATTCCAGGGCCAGAGGTCGCTTGCGTGGCTTTTCTGAGTGTTACGGCGCGCTCCTCCTGCCCCCGCGCGGCGCGGGCAGGGACCCACCGGTTCGCTCCGCACCAGCAGCGGAGACCTGACCCTAGGGAGCGGGACCCCGCGGTCCCGACGCTCTGCTGGGTTCAGGCTACAGGCCCGTATGGAGGGGACTGCAGAGTCCCAGACGCCTGATCTGCGAGACGTGGAGAGCAAGGTGGGCAGGAAGACCCCCGAAGGGCTGCTCCGCGGGCTTCGAGGGGAGCGGGAGCCGGGACCCTCCGGCACCCTGCTGCTCCCGGGGGCGCCGAGCTCGGGCCATGGCCTGGGGGACAAGATCAAGGCGCTGAAGATGGAGCTGGTGAGTGTGGGGCTCCACAGGCTGGGCGGAGGTCGCGGTTGGAGGTAGGACCCGAGTCCCTGAGTCCCCGGTGGAGGGCCTGAAGGAGCGACTCGGAGTTGGCCTGGAGCCCAGGGAGTTTAATCTCCCCACCTAACTCAGCGGGATCTCTCCCAGATCAATCCCTATACCCTGGGGTCATCAATTGCTTCCCCAAGGCTGAGTAGAGTGTAGATGGGTCCTGAAGACTTGGGGTGGGAGGCACAGTCTCTTGGAAGTTTTTCCTGCCAAATAATTGGGAGGGGAGAGGCGAAGACTGGGAAGCGCTGAGAACCTAGTACAGCAGAAATCTCCCCACCCCTACCTCCTCACTCACAGGACCATCTATCCCCCAGTCGCCATTATCGGGCAACCAGTTTTTTCTCCTCCCGCAGACTGGGTCCAGGGTTTGTTCTTCTGAGGCCCCAGTGTTCACGACTGGAGTCAGCACAGTAAAGATTTGGGTGCGAACTGCCTGGACTAGGGCCACTAAAAACATCCTTTCTTTCACTAACGTTCTCCCCATCTCCCTGTGTTTGAAATTTCCTACAACCTTAGCAGACATGAGTAGCAGCACTCTCAGTGTTGGTTTCATCACCTCTGACTCAGTCTCCTCCTCACCCACCCCAGGGTGCACTGGATATTTGGATCTCATCTGTACCTCCTTGGGGAGGACAGGAAACAGGCACCGTCCCCCTTCCCTGTTGCTGCTGGGTCTAGATTCAGAGCCAAAAGAGCAGTTGGGACCCACCAGGCTCCCTGGGGCCCTGATTCCGGTGAAGGTGGTGATTTACACCTGCCATCACTTTACAGCCAGTTCTAGGGAACTGACGAAGTGCCAGCTGCTCTCTGGCCCAGAACCAGGAGGCCACAGTGAGGATGTGAGTTAATGTCTTCCTGGAGCCCCACTGTGTGCCCAGCTCTGTGCCAGGCTGAGCTGTGAGGGAGAGGGGGAGGAGGTCCTGAGAGGCTGGGAGGAGAGCCTTATGGGCAGAGCAATCAGGGAAGGCTCCCTGGAGGGAGGATTTGAATGCCATGTGTGCACTTGGCCTTGAAGGCTGGAGCTGAGCCAAATTCTCCAAAGTAGTGTCCACCTACGGGAGGGGCCTGGCTTTGCCTCATTGTACAGACTTTAGCTCAAGGCCTAGAAAGAGCCTACCTAGAGGGCCCTACTTTGGAAACTAACTCTTAGCAAGTGCGTGTGCCAGACTTCAGGCTGAGCACTTTACAAGATCGTCTCTTAATCCTCATGGCAACACTATTAGGTAAGTGATATTTTATAGATGAAGACACTGCGGCACAAAGAGGTTAGTAATTGCCCCAGGTCATACGAAAAGTTAAAAAGCAGAGCCAAGCGTTGAACCTAGATGACCTGCCTACACTTTACATCTACCATTGAGACCTGCTTTGTGCCAGACACCTTACATACTTTATGTCGTTCACATGAGGAAAGCAGTCGTCATTCTCCCCGTCTCACAGATGAAACATGCTTGTAGGTGCCGAGGTCACACAGGGCGGAGCCATGCCCCGTCTCTCGGGCTCTAACTCTTTTCTGCCTTTGGTGGATATTCCCTGTTTGTAAACTTTAAGGGGTAAGTTTAACTTCTGATTAGGTCTCCACTCTTGACCCAGCCTGGCCTGGGGCCCTAGGCTGCCCATGAAGAGCAAGAGGGAGGGAGCTTTCTGGGGGCCCTAACAGGGAGAGGCTCCCTATGTGCCCCACGGATCCCTGCTCCATTCCCTTCTCCCTCTTCAGGCCAGGATGTCACGAATCTCTTTTACACTCTGCCCTGACCACTGGGTTACAGCCAGGGAGGACAAGGAGCAGGGCAGGGGGGTTCCACCCTGGAGCCACTGTGACAGAACTGGTCCAAGCCCTCTAAGTACTGTCCTTCAACAGTCTTTCTCCCAGCTCTTCTGCAGGGAGGGGACAGTCTTGCCCTTGAGGCCAAGGTCATCCCTGCCTCTAGGCCATTTCCCTCCTGCCCAGTCAGACTCTGGCAGCAGCATGTGGAAAGGAAAAACAGTGGCAACCTCCTCTTAATACTGGCACCCAAATAACTGTGGTTATGACAACAACCCCACAGAACAGTTTGACAAAAAGCTTTAGCCCACTGGTGTGGCTCAGTGGTTGAGCACCCACCTTATGAACCAGGGGGTCAGGGTTCAATTCCTGGTCAGAGCACATGCCCGCGATTGTGGGCTCTACCCCCAGTTTGGGGCGTGCAGAAGGCAGCAGATCAATGATTCTCTCTCGTCATTCATGTTTCTATCTCCCTCTCCCTTCCTCTCTGAAATCAATAAAAAAAATATTTTTTTAAAAAAGCTTCAGGCAAGAAGTGGGGAGGCATAGGTTCAAGTCGTAGCTCTGCTGAATCGTCTTGAGATCTTGAGCAGGGCCTCTCTCTTGGCCTTAGTTTTTCTGCCTCTTCCCGAAGTGAGCGAAGGCCAGTGATTGTGAGACCAGATGATCTCTGAGAGCCTTCCTAGTAATAATAGTCTGAGAATCTCAATCCATGACCAGGGATTTGGGACTGGGATTTTATCCTAGGGCCTGATTTCACTTGAATGGTAAGGGAGCCATACTGTAGCCTCGGGGCTGGGCCGAGAGTCTGATGTGTATGTATTAAGGGGAGGAGTGGGGAACCTGAATCCCTGTGGGAAGAGAATTGGGTTGGAGTGGCCTCTGAGGCAACATCTCTCCTGAGCTGTTTATCCCCCTTCTGTTTCCAAAGAGATGGTGTGAAATGAGTATTATTTTTCTGGCAAAAAAAAAGCCTTGCTTTTTATTGATTTCAGAGAGGGAGGGAAATAGATAGATGCATCAATGATGAGAGAGAATCATTGATCAGCTGCCTCTTGCATGCCCTACACCAGGGATTGAGCCCACAACCTGGGCATATGCGCTTGACCGGAATCAAACCTGGGACCCTTCAGTCTGCAGGCTGGCGCTCTACCCACTGAGCCAAACTGGCTAGGGCTGGCAAGTATATTTGAATTGGAGGAGACACTGCTTTGTCTGTCTAAGTTCCACTAATTTTCAAGGCTCTAAATGGAAATAGATACAATATATCTATTGCCTCTAAGATGGAGTAGATACAATACTAGTATATGATATGTTTAAAAGCCTTGAGAAATTAAGACAATTGGGAGAGAATTTGGTGATGACTTACTGACAACTATATAGCAAACTAAGCAAAACAGTAGTAGTAGTAGTAATATTATACATGAATAATACTAATATAACATATTATAACATTAATAAAAACATATTCAATTGTCCTGTCAGGGAATTGAACCATGACCTCCTGGTTCATGGGTAGACGCTCAACCACCACTGAGCCATGCTGGCTGGGCAACGTATTATTATTCTAAGGAAAACATAAAGTTGTAAGAAATGTAAGGTAACTATAGTAAACCACATGGCTTAGCTGTGATTGAATTTTAATAAGATAAACACTGAATAATTAATTTTATTGTATGTAATGGGAATATGGGGAGATGGGAAAGGTGCCTGTATGGCAGAGGAATGGGGAGTAAATTGAAAGAGTTAAATCCTTAACCTGTCGTGTGAGAAGTCAGTAGAAAATAGCTAAGACTTAAAAATTAGTAAGTAGCATGTTATTTGGAAATTAGAAGGTAAGTACCAAAATAAACAGCTAAAAAAATTAATAGTTGTTTCTGGAGTGTGGGATTTAGGACAATGATGGGAAACTGTTACTTTTCATAATAAGTCTTGCAGAACTTTTTGCCTCTTTAATCTTTCACTATCTATTACTTTGACTAAAAATGACACTAAATAAAAGGAGCTTTTAAGTCGGGTGGCAGAACCGGGGTTCCCAGGGAGGTATGCTAGAAGTGAAGCTAGGGAGATGGGCAAGAGCCATATTATGAAAGCCTTTGAATGCCAGCTGCTAAACTGTTTACATTTATTCTCTAAGAGCAGTGCAAAGCCCATAAGGGCTCTTGAGCAAGGGAGGGACAGGTTCAAACTTGTGTTTGGGAAATATGATTCAGTGCCTCTGAGCTGAAAGGGACCCTAGAGATTACCCAGTCAGTCAGACTTACTCCCGGTACAAGCAGGGAGACTGGTGTGGGGTGGAGGATAGCACTGAATCCCTAGTCAGAGGGATTCTGACCCTATGAAGCTCTAGCCAACTCTTCTCTCCCTTAATAATTGCTGCCGGCACCGTGAAGTGACTGGGGGACCAGGGTAGCTCCCTCTTTACCCCTCAGCTCCTGTCTTCTTTTGGTCCAGTCTACCTCCCAATTAACAGCTGGCCTCCTATCAGACTATTCGTTGGCTGTTTCTAAGTTTACTGGTGACGCTGGACCGGTTGTTTCAGGAGTTAGTAGTAATTCCTATCTATGAAGTTCAAAGCTCAGTAGGATCAGATTTTAATATTTAACATTTACTGAGACCTTACTCTGTGGCAGGCACCGTGCTGAGTACTTAATAGACAGCATCCCAAAATTCTCACAGCCACCCTGTGAGGTGAGTGATTTAACGCTATTTTACAAACCAGGAAACCGAGCTCAAAGAAGATATGAAAGTTGGCTATAGTGGTGTTGACAATCAGGGGTAGAGGTGAGGCTTTAAAACAGTAATCTGTCTGCATCTAAGCCCACACTCCAAACCCTCTGTTTCCATGCCTTTTTTTAAAAAAAAAACAAAACTTTTTTTTTTTTTTACTGATTTTTAGAGAGAGAGGAAGAGAGAGAAACATTGATATGAGAGTGAAACATCGATTGATCAGCTGCCTCCAGCAAGCCTCCCAATGGGGGTCAAGCCTCCACCCCAGGCATGCGCCTGATAGAATCAAACCTGGCAACCCTTTGGTGCCCGGGACAATGTCCAACCAACTGAGCCGCACCAGCCAGGGCTCCCTGCTTCTTGAGAGTGAAACATAGTTGGTTGGATCCCAAGGTAGGGGTCTCTGGAAACATTTGGAAAATGCATGGCCCAGAACCGGAACTGATTCCTTCTCCCACTCCCCCAGGCTTACCTGCGAGCCATTGACGTGAAGATCCTACAGCAGCTGCTGACTTTGAATGAGGGCATTGAGGCGCTCCGCTGGCTGTTGGAAGAACGGGGGACATTGACCAGCCACTGCAGCAGCCTCACCAGCAGTCAATATAGCCTGACGGGTGGGAGCCCAGGCCACTCAAGGAGAGGCAGCTGGGACAGCCTGCCAGACGTCGGCTCCACTGACCAGCTGGACAGTGTCTCCATTGGCAGCTTCCTGGACACCGTGGCACCCCCTGAGCTGGATGAACCGGGCAACCTTAGGGCTCCCCATCCTGAGATGGACTGGGCAAAGGTTAGACCTGGTGGGGAGAGGGCCAGGACTGAGTTGGACCTGGCAGCCACCAAGCTAGGGAGCTTGAGGCCTGTGTGGAAGCCCCCAAAGGCGGGGCTCCAAGGTGGGCCTCCTGAGCCACCAGAGGATGAAAATGCCGAGCTGGGCTTTGAGGTCCACTGGTACTGGGGGCAGTGCCAGGATGATGTGACCTTCCTGTAACCACATTTCCACCCTTTTGTTCTGCTGTGGCTCTTTCTTCACTAGGCCCTAGTCTCCCTTGAAATTTATTCTCTCTCAATTTGGGACTAGGAAGAGGCTGCATTGAAATCAGTTACCATGGAAATCTGGCCTCACCATCTCTTTGGTCCTTGGTGAAGCTGTGCCTCTATCCCTCAATTATTGGATAAAAAAAAAATATATATATATTTTTTTTCCCATAGATATATTAACTCTCGAGCAGGGGTGGGAAACGTTCAGCCTATGGTCCGCATAAGGAAATCATTTGGTTTGGCCCTGCCAAGGCATTACGGGTGCGTTAACTAAATGTTTGACCAAGTATAGCAGGCTAATATTTAAGTTGATAATTTTGTATGGCCCGTGAACGATGTTACAAATATCCAAATGGCCCTTGGCAGAAGTTTCCCACCCCTGCTCTTGAGGGTGTGATGGTCTCTCTTTCCTTTTCCTCCATAACTACGTAAGGATTTGAAGGATTTAGGGCCCTTAGGAGGTCACTCATGAAGAGAATAATGGCTTCACTCAATGTCTAAGAGCCTTGGCTGTCTTCCCCCCTCCCTCTCCCCCAAACCTTGGCCAAGATGGATGGCTGTGGATGGACATGGTCACTCAGGATTAGCCTTCCTAGTAACCTTTGGGGTTGGTAGAACCACGGTTTCCTGTTTGGTGAGTGATGTCAATGAACCAGTCATTTTGGTGGTAATAGGTCAGTATAGTGGTATCTGAACCCCTGCTGCTAAGTGAGACCATGCAATTTATTCTCCAAACCATTACTTCTTGTGAGGGAGAACATACCACCCCTCCTGGCAAGAAACTTTCTCACTGTCAGAAAGGTTCATACTTTTTAAACCAGGTTATTTTCATTTCATCCTAGGGGATCTCGCTTCCTCTGTAACCACACCCTTGCCTGGTGCCAGCACTCCTATATCTGTGCTTTTAGGGAGGGAAACTGTCAAGGGCCTCCACCCACTGCTCTCAAAAGTCCTGCCACAGTCAGTTCGTGTTTTACCCTGTCCCTGGGTTGTCCCCATTCTTGTATTCTGTCTCCAGATCTGTCTGCCAGGAGGTTCAGCCTTTGTGTCTCCACACCTTCTCAGTTTCCACTTCCACTTCAGGCCTCAGGCCTTTTATATGCAGATGAGTCCCCATTGCTTAGGGAGGACAAGCTTGAGGTCTCAGAGTTCTGGGGGCGTACCAAATCTCCAAAGTGAGGAGGTGTCTTCTTTTCTAATTCCGTGATTCCTCCTCCCCCACCTTGCCCCGACCCTCTACCATTTGATCAAAAGGACCTGCCCAGAGACTGGGACACAGGAATCCCCTTGTTTGAATTACAATGGGGGGTGTGGTGTGGCAGGGAAAGACAGAGGCTCTTTAGTCCTAGGGCCCACATCCCGGGGAGGAGGGAGAGATTGAGGGAAAGGCCACTTTCCTTCCTCCCTTAGAGCAAGCCCTAGACTCCTAGGACCTGAGGAGGGAGCAGGGGACTGGCTCTGGGCCTGGGTCCCAGGGCCCTAAAGAATTGCACCAAAGAAAGAATTCAGGGAAGCTGCCAACCTGAGGCTCAGGGAGGGGACAAGGAGACAAGGGTTGATGTCAAAGAATGAACTCTTGGAAATTAACCCTTTGAACCCCAGGTAACTGCCCATAAGTCGGTCCCTATCTTTCCTGGGGCCTGAAACTAGATTATTGGAAGGCGAAAAGGATATCAGGTGATCTTTGCCTATTTGCTGTACCCTCCTGAGTTGTAGGAGTCATCCCCAAATCCTAGAATAACTGCTGCAATTTCTCTACTTATCATTCTATGCTGGAGAAGGGAAGGAAGCCAGGCTGATCATCTCCACTTCCCCTAAACTCCTCAATTCTTACTCTGCACCCTCACCCCAATCAGTGTGGGACAATACATTCAGTCCATGGCTGTCCCCTAAAGACCCTCTCTCCTCCTCCCATCCCCTCAATGTGATTGATATCACTAAAATGTATTCTTGGCCTCTCCTCTGCTGCCCACCAGCCCTCCCCTTACCACCGCTCCTGGTCTTGGGGCTCCTGACTCCCTACCCCCTACCCCGGGGGCTGGAAATTCAAATACCCTTTTCTAATTCCTACTCTGTTGCCATTTTGTAGTGTGCCCTTGGGGAACTGCTTTGTATTCCTTTTTGAAGCTTGCTTATTTGTTTAGTCTACAAACTTCTGAGCTGAAGAAGTTGCCTGCCATCTTGTGGTCATTATGCACCATTGCCATGAGTGGGTGGGGGAACCTCCAAATTCAAACACAGCCTTACAGAAGACCAGTCCCTTCAGTGCACAGACAGACTGGAGAGTCTTGCCCAGTGTCATCCATGGCAATGCCCAGGTTAGAGAACCCAGGTGTCTCCCGCCTGCTTGCCTGCCCACAGTTCTATCACTTGGTTAGACTGTTCCTCCACCTCACCCAGTTAATACACCCAAACCTAAAGGGACTGAAAGCAATTTTTCCCTATTTTATTTATATTATTTTTAAAATATATTTCTTTATTGATTTCAGAGAGGAAGGGAGAGGGAGAGAGAGAGATAGAAACATCGATGATGAGAGAGAACCATTGATCGGCTGCCTCCCGCACGACCCCCACTGGGGATGGAGCCCACAACCCTGGGCATGTGCCCTTGAGCAGAATCGAACCTGGGACCCTTCAGTCCGCAGGCTGATGCTCTATCCACTGAGCCAAACCGGCTAGGGCAATTTTCCCCTATTTTAATATTTGGGTACTCATCCTACTGTAAAGAGGCAGCTCCATGTTTAGAAAAGGGCTATAGGCTCTGAGGAAAGAGAACCTTGGACCTGGATTGGGTAAAAGGTACACGAATCCGGACTGCAGATATAAGGAAAATCAATCCTGGACCATTTTTCTGGGAAGGCAGGTGAGTAGAGCCGAAAATCATGGGGTCAAAACTCCAGTCGGCGGAGGTTAGAAGTGGGGTCTGGGGTGGAGAGGTTTGAGATTAGGAAATCCAGATGGGTCCTACGGAGTTGGGGGCTCCATATGTCAGGGTATTACAAGGAAATGCGACTTTTTTTTAAGTGGGTAATTAGGTAATTTAAAACATTTAATTCTTAGCAATCCTATAAGCAATGCATTATTATCAATGTATTGTTGCTTAGACATTTGCTCAGGTAGTAATATAAGTAATAAATGAATGGTAATATGAACCTAGTTCAGTTTGATTGCAGGGGCTCAACTGGATAGAGGCATGTGAGGGTGTTGAGGAGCTGGAGAGGTTCGGTGAGTTGGGATGCCTGGGCACTCCAGGTAGGTCTGGGCATCCTATCTTAATATCTTACACCCTATTTCACTCACAGAGAAGTTCAGGAACCCAGGAAACACACATCCTTGTTCCCTCCTACCAGCCTTTGGACCTGCTGCTTGAGACTTAGCTCTCCTGTTAACTTTGACCTTCCTAGCTAGCTAAGAGAAAGAGAAGGGAGGGAAATGGGGGGAGATAAGAGAGAATGAGATGGAAGTGGAGTGCTACAAGTATGATCAGAGGGAGCATACTGTCCTCCAAGTGGGCCTGAGGCTTTTGTCAGGGCTCATGATAAAGGCAGAGATGCACTTGCTCTTGGCAACTGCAGAAATAGTGCCTGAGAGGATGAGGGTGGTGCTGACTGGGGTGGGTACATCATGAAGACACGAGACCATGTGAGTGGACAAGGGTAAGGGCCTGCATTTAGGATGGGGGCAGTGAGGTTGAGCACTGGGCCGACTGGAAGCCCAGTGGCACCTTAGGTGAGAAACGCTTGGGGCTTGATGTAGACACAAGCTCACTGTGCATGGTGCCAGGCACACACTGGGTGTTCAGTGACACCTGTTGACTGAATGGAGGAATGAATGTGTATAAACCCACAAGGAGATGTGACTTTTTTAAGTGGGTAATTAGGTAATAGGTAATTTAAAACATTATTTAATTCTTAGCAACCCTATAAACAATGCATTATTAACAATGTATTGTTGCTTAGACATTTGCTCAGGTAGTAATGTAAGTAATAAATGAATGGTAATATGAACCTAGTTCAGTTTGATTGCAGGGGCTTCTAGGAAATCTACCTCTCCACTTTCCACTCTCACAAACCTTACTTTCCTAGGAGAACAGATTAGTGCTGCCCAGCGGCAGGGCCAGCATACTAGTTTCCTATTGCTGCTGTAATGAATTACCATAAACTTAATTGCTTAAAATAACACAAGTGCATTAGCTTACAGTTCTGGAGGCCACAGCTCTGAAATCCATTTCATTGGGCTAAATTAAAAGTCAAAATGTTGACAAGCTTGCATACCTTCTGGAGTCTCTAGGGGAGAATCTGCTTCTTGGCCTTTTCCAGGTTCTAGAGGCTGCTTGCATTCCTTGGTTCATGGCCCCTTCCTCCATCATAAGCCAGCAGCATAGCATCTTCACTCCTCGGACCTCTGCTTCCATCCTTCTCCAATTCTCCTGTTTCCTCTGATGAGAATCACATTCTGATTACATGTCTTTGTAATTATATTGGGTCCACTGAGACAATCCAGAATCATCTCCCCACCTCAAGATCTTTAACCATACCTTCAAAGTCCCTTTTGCCATATCAGCTAAGATACTAACAGGTTCTGGGAATAGGACATGAACATCAACCACAGGCAGAGATGGAAGGTGGGCAGAAGGATGCACCCAGGGCCAGAATGAGCCTCTATGCGTTGTCCAGCCTCTCTTAGGCTGGTGCCAAGGGAGACAGGCCCAGGCTCCATGTCTGGAGAATAGCAAGTGCCTCCTGAATCATCACTACCAGGAAGAAGTGAGAATGAAGGTCTTAGTTTAAGGAACTTTTCAGGCCTGAAATTCTGCTAGACAACTCTGTCTTCAACATTGCCTCCTCTCCAGAAATATTCTGTACTCCTCAAGGCAGAAGATAATTACCATCAAATTAGCCAAGGCTCTCTCTGGAAAGGGTAGATTTTTCTCCTCCTTAAAAAAAAAAAAGATTGATTTTAGATAAAGGGAGAAACATCAGTTTGGCCCTGGCTGGTTTGGCTCAGTGGATGGAGGGTTGGCCTAGGTACTGAAGGGTCCCGGGTTCAATTCCGGTCAAAGGCACATGCCTGGGTTTCGGGCTCGATCCCTAGTAGGAGGTGTGCAGGAGGCAGCCGATCAATGATTATCATTGATGTTTCAATCTCTATCTCTCTCCTCCTCTCTGAAATCAATGCAAATATATATATATATATATAAACAATATTTGAAAAAACAAACACCAGTTTGTTCCACTTATTTATGCATTCATTGGTGATTTTTATATGTACCTTGACCAGGAATTGAACCTGCAACCTTGGCTAATTGGGATGACACTCTAACCAACTGAGCTACCTGGCCAGGGTAATTTTTTCCTTATTTGTTATTCTTTAATAGTTAAACTCTCATCATCAGTTTATACTAGGTCTCTTGTTTTATTTGCTTTTGATCCTTGATCCTTATTCTCATTCTTCCCCCTGACCCAGGCATACACTCCAGTGTGTTCACTATGTCTTTGTGCATGTATGTGTCTTTAAATACATACATACTAGAAGCCCGGTGCACAAAATTTGTACACGGATAGGGCTCTTAGGCCTGGCAGGTGATCAGGGCCTATCTGTGGGGCAACTGGTACGGCGATTGAGGGGCCCCCACTGGCACCTGCCTTGGCCGGCCTAGTGCCCACCTCCAGCTGTGAGCCCAGCTTCTGGCTAAGCGGTGCTCCCCGCTGTGAAAGCACACTGACCACCAGGGGGTAGCTCCTGTGTTGAGCATCTGCCCCCTGGTGGTCAGTGCACATCAGTGACTGGTCGTTCCGCCATTTGGTTGATTTGCATATTAGGCTTTTATTATATAGAAAACTTATGTGTTTTAATATATACAAGTGGTATAACTTTATAATGAGCTAACTTTTATAATGAATTGCTCCATATTTCAGTGATTTAACACAATAAAGACTTATTTTTAACTTACACAGGAGACCAGGTATTCTGGCTGGACAGCTCTCCTCCACTGTGCATTTCAGGTCCCAGGCTCCTTCCATTTTCAGGTGGTGACAGCCTGATCCTGCATCATAAGGTTCCCTGTTAATTTTTCACCAAATCATTTTATTATCCCTTAATGACCACTTTATGAATTGGTTATTTCAACAGGGATTATAAAATTATGATTTTCAAAGGCCATTATTTCTCCCTTTATTAGTTCTAATTCTGTATGGAAAAACTTTTCACATCCTCTAGAACCATTTGGTTACCCTGAATTAAAGTTCATATCAGAATGTTAAGGTAAATGCTTAAATCTCTTTCCTTATTTATCTCTTTCATGCCCCCACCTGGGGATCAAGCCTGCAACCCAGGCATGTGCCCTGACCAGGAATCAAACTGTGTCCTCCTGGTTCACAGGTTGACATTCAACCACTGAGCCATGCTGGCCAGGCTTCTCTCCCTCTCTCTCTCTCTCTCTCTCTCTCTCTCTTTTTAAATTGATTTCAGAGAGAGAGAGAGAGAGACATCAGTTTGCTGTTTCAGTCATTTATGCACTTATTGGTTGCTTCTTATATGTGCCCTGACCAGAGATTGAGTCCGCAACCTTGGCAATACTCTAACCAACTGAGCTACCCAGCCAGGGATGCTCTCTCTTTAAATTATTATTGTGAACTTGTAGTTTTTATATATTTAGTATCTTAATCACTTCCAGTTATTTTTTATATTATATAACATTTCAAGCATACACAAAAATAGAGAAAATAATATCATGGATTTCCAGGCACTCATCAGTCAGCTTCAGTAATTATCAATTCATGGCCAATCTTGATTTATTTATTCCCTCAACTGCTCTCCCCTGAGATTATTTTGAAGCAAAACTAGGTATGATTCCAATTCATCTGTGGTTTAGTATGTATCTCTAAAAGATAAGGGATTTTATTACCACTATTGTACCTAAAAATTAATAATTTCTCAATATAATATAGTTGATATTCAGTTTTCCCCAATTTTCTTCTTCTTTTTAAAAATCCTCACCTGAGGATATTTTTCCATTGATTTTTATTTCTTTATTTTTAATGAGATTTATTCTCTCTTTTTAAAAAATATTTTTATTTATTTCAGAGAGGAAAGGAGAGGGGGGGGAGAGAGGAGAGAGAGGAAGAAACATCAATTATGAGAGAGATCGGCTGCCTCCTGCACGCCCCTCACTGGGGATTGAGCCTGCAACCCAGGCATGTCCCCTTGACTGGAATCGAACCTGGGACCCTTCAGTCTGCAGGTCAACGCTCTATCCACTGAGCCAAACCAGCTAGGGCTCCGTTGGTTTTTAGAGATAGTGGAAGAGAGAGAAAAAGATAAAGAGAAATATCTATGTGAGAGAAATACATTGATTGGTTCTCTTGCACGCACCCCAACCAGGGCCTGGCCCGGAAGGAGCCTGCAACCGAGATACATGCCCTGGATGGAAATTGAACCTGGGACCTTTTGGTCCGCAGGCTGACTGACGCTCTATCCACCGAGCAAAACCAGCTAGGGCCCCAATTTTCTGATAAACTTAAAAAAAAGTTTTAGTATCAGGGTTATGCTGGCCTCCTAAAAAGAGTTAGGAAGTGTTTTCTCCTCCCGTTTTCTAAAAGCATTTGGTAAGATTGGCAGTATTATTCAGTATTTGATAGAATTCATCAGTTAAATCATCTGGGCCTGAGGTTTTCTTTATGGGAAGATTTATTTTTATAACAAGTTTAATTTTTTTGATACATATAGGGCTATTCAGTCTTTTAATTTCATTTTGAATTAATTTTGGTAAGTTGTGTTTCTCAAATAATTTGATCATTTCATCTAAGTTATTGACTTTATTAGCATAAAGTTGTTCATATTCTCCCTTGTTATTCTTTTAAAAACTGGACTCGTAAAATAAAGCACAAATGTAGAGAACACAGAAAAAAAGGGTAAGATATGTTACCACTACCATGTCAAGAACTAAAACCCACCCAGAAGTCCTGGCCATGGCCTTATCCCAAGTATAATCCCTTTCCTCTGCCATCAGTAACCATTTCCTGACTAGAGTATTTAGTTCTTTACATCTTTTTTTATAGTTTTATATCCAAATGTATATCCAGCCCTAGCCGGTTTTGCTCAGTGGATAGAGCATTGGCCTGGGGAATGAAGGGTCCCAGGTTGGATTCCAGTCAAGGGCACATACCTCCGTTGAGGACTTGATCCTGTGCAGGAAGCAACCAATCAATGTCTGTGTGTCTATCCCTCTCTTACTCTCCCTAAAAATCAATGGAAAAGTATCTTCGGGTCAGGATTAACAACAACAAAAACAAATGCATATCCACAAAACACACTACCACACTGGAGCCAGGAGACCACAAATCCCCTCATTGTCATTGTTATTGTGTTAATTGTTGACTTAATTATCCTGTACCCACCTATGTGTAAAAAAAAAAAAAGTATGTGTCACCCTGGCAGGTATGGCTCTGTTGGGTTGCTGGTTCAATTCCTGGCCAGGGCACATGCCTGGGTTGCAGGCTGGATCCCCAGTAAGGGTGTGTGGGAGGTAGCCAATGGATGTCTCACTCCACATTGACGTTTCTTTCCCTCTAAAAATCAATAAAAAGTAACAAAAAAATGTATCTATCATTTTACTTTTTATCCAATTCCAAAGGTTT